TTGCACACCCCTAGCTGCAGACCAACATGGAACACGCATCATTAACCAACATGGAACACACATTCCATACGGGCAGCACATAAAAAGTTCCCTGAAAATCAAGACATACTGAATCTAGAGCTCTTCTCTATCCATAAGGTATGTCATGTGGTTTTAAGGGCAATTAGATTTTTGAGATGTGAGTTCTTGTTGCCAGTTACTCATCCCTATATTATTTTTCAGGAATGTACAAATACATTTTCACTATTTTTCTAAAAAAATTAATTTACTTAATAGTGTCATACCTTTTTTCTCCTTCCTCTCTCCACCAGGCTTGTGACTTTACAGCCTCCCTCTATTGCACCTAGGATCTATAACTTCTCAAATACGTTGATTACTGACACTGAGATTCTGTTAGCAAGAGCTTTAAATACTCTAGGACATAGTTAAAGAGAGAATTCAGGTCAATTTGAAAATATGTGGCTTATACATTCTACCTTTTCTTAACTGAAAATGCACCTCACTAATGCATTAGTTTCATTATTTTACTACCTTAGATAGTGAAATCTAGAAGGTACTGCATTCCTGACACCTTTTAGTCTTCTCACTTCACAATTAGAGTACACTTCCTATTTCACACAATTAATGAGCTTCTGGAGTGAAGTGGGGGTTTTATTTTGCTTGCTAGTTGCATTTCATCTCATGCTGTCTTTCTGATTTTGTTCTCACATGCTTCTGTTGTACTTTTATTTTCAGCCCTAACAACCAACATAAAAGCTAACTTACTTTCTCCTTTCCTCTATCTTTCTCTCCAGTTTGAGTGATTTAGCCAAGCTGGTTTCTTAACTCCATGTTCATTGAAAACTGCATTCCTGACTCCTGTGGGGTTCATGTTGATCATACTCCTTGTTCTGGTCCTGCAGATCACTAATCTCTCATCACTCTACCATGTCATGTACAGTCTCAATTAATGCTTACCCTGACCTTTTCAGTTACTTGCTTTTCTCTGACTGTAATCAAAACTAGAGTAGCCTTACTGCTCTGTGCAGACTTCTCCAGAAAATCTAGAAGACTCAGTTGTCTCCAGCCTTGTGTTCATGTAGGTATTGACAGGTGAGGGAGAGGAAACAAGAAGGTTGTGACACAGGGACACTGCTTAAATTACACTCCCTGTCTCATGCAGCAAATGTCTCATCATCATGGGTTCTTCACAGGGACCATGTATGACCCAGACAGACACAGTCACAGCACTCTTTTACCCACCTGAAAACATGAGACCTTGTTTCTCCCCAGCCACTCCTGTGTCTAGGAGGGAATTTTAGGTTACTCATGTGTGAGTCATGAACTCTGGAATAGCCAAGCATGACAAGATGAAAGTTCTGCCTAGCAACACAGCCTGTCACAGGCTCAGCTGCTGAATATGCTGATATATTAATAAATATGTATCTAGGCCCCCTCTTTGCAATTCACTCGCTCCTTGAACACTTAAAACTTCTCCTGGCCTTCTCATAGCTGACTCTTGCACACAGTTGCTCAACTTTCTACTGCAACTGCCATGGGCACGTTTTCAAAACATTGCCTATAGGGCAGATAGAGGCTATGAATGCAAACCCACCCTGAGATGGTGTGCACAGCAGCTCAGTCAGGACTGCTCTGTTCTATATTCCCATCACGTAATCATGGTAAAGAAACCAACAAAACTTTTCTTACAATTCCCTTCAACTATACCTCTTTTCTTCAAGTGCCAAAATTCACAGACACTCTGGTCAGCCCGGGACTGGCCCCTTACAGTCGTGGCCACCATGTCATCGATTTGCCGGTTCACAGTCTGCTCCCAGAGTGGGATCAGACATGAGTCCTGGAAGGGACACAAGAAAGCTTACCCTCCTGTACAGCAAGGATGTGAAAGGACAAGAGGCTGAGACAGACTGCCTTCCCATTCAGGGCAGGCCTTGGGAACAAGGAACATAGTGAAGCACTAGCCTTGCTTCAAGGAGGGCCTCCCATGTCACCAACATCCCTCAAAGCTTCCAGGAGTTTGGGAATCTGTACAAATAGCCTTCTTATGCCCGCCATAGGCAGACATGTGGTTGGAAGATGTTGGCAAAGTGAATGTGAAGGAGGATCTCCAAGTACTTGAACAATTCTTGATCAACCTGTACTCATTTAGAACTCTGCCTATGCCCACATATGTCTAGGAAAACACGGAGCAGACACACTAGGAACACAACAAGCACGTTGCCACTGGTCTCAAAGTGCCACTGCAGTTTGGAGGGGAGCACAGAGACAGAGTCCACAGAGCATTACAACAGATCAGAAGCTGAACAAGCTTCCCAGGGCTGTCATGGCCCTGTAGGCAACTGGGATCTGAGAGGGCCTCAGATCTCCAGACTCCACTGGAAACTGACACAGTTCAGACTTTTTGTTTCTTCAGTGACTCAGCCAAGGCTGAAACATCCTGCTGCATAGGACTGAGGTCCAGAACCAGGCAGAAGAAGCTCAGTTAATGCAAGAATTCCTCCCACACCTCAGTAACACAAAGAGCCCTCCCCAGAGAAACACAGCCAACAGGACTCGGGGTGGAGTTCCTCATTTACATCTTCCAGTGCTGTTTGGGCTTCTGCTTAGGTTTAGCCACAGCTAACTCCAACTCCTGCGCCTCCAGTTCCTGAGGCAGCTGACAAACAGCCTTCTGTCCTGAAGGAGCACAGCAGAGGAAGCCAGACCTCCAGTGACAGCAAAACATGGACACAAGATCCCAGGGGCATTCTCCCAGAGCTCCAAGGTCCTCTTGCCATCCCAAACAGGTTCATTTGCAGAAACCAGTAAGTTTTATACTGCTTTCTCCCTGCTATTCTGAGGCCCCATAAAATGTCAAAATAAGAGCAGGCATAATAAATGTCCTTATTTTCATATAAGCATGTTTAAACAGTCTTAGGCTGTAATACTTGGCCAAGTCAACCCCCTCTGCAGTTTGTTGCTCAGACTGATTTTAGCAAGCTGCAAACTGCAACTCCTGCAGTTTGGAGAAGTAGCTTACTCATGGGTAACATATCATTTATTGAATAGAATGGTAGTAGTAAACTAATTCAATAATGAGGGCCAGATACAAGCCCCACAAAACATCAACACAGAAAAGTGAGAGATTAAATAGTAGCAGGAACCACTCCCTTTGAGACATTTTCAGAGTCCAGAAATTTTTTTGAAATACAAAAATGGAAAAATTCATCTGAACTATTTGCTTCTCATTATAATACAGCTGTCCTTTATTCATTGACACTCCACTGCAACATCAGCCAACTGATGCACAACTCTCTTTCTTCTATCAGCATTATCACAGTCATTTCTTCATGCACAGAAATACAGCTGATTTATCCACATAATCAAAACATCTCTGAAGAAACTGAGTCATTCCTCAGTAAGAGAAAGAAGGGCTGCTAAGTGGGAGTAGGCTGCTTGTACAAGTATACTCTTAAACAAATGTAACCAATTACTGTTGGGGGGAGCACCACTGAATTAAAATCACAGAGATAATTGTGTCTGAACACTTGCACATTCCATGAGTAGGCTGTAAATCTCATTTATGAGGTTTTTAACTTACTGTTCCAGTGAAATTAGAAAGAAATAAAACCATAGCATTCAGAACTATTGATTCAGGCAGTTTGCAAATTCTAATGACCATCTTTGCAAACCTTTGCCAGCGATCATATAGCTCTACACACACTGATAAGTCACTTTTCTCATAAATAAAATTTTTCAGCGCAATAATAAAAATAAATACACTCTCCTGAGAAAAATATCAGATTGCCAAACCATTGTGACACAGCCAAACAAACTTTAGCTGAGATTGTGTAATCTCAACAATCACTGTTTTCAAATTGCAGAATGGTTTTAGCTGAGAATTATTTCAGCTATTACCAAATTCACCTTTTGATACTTTTTATCAAAGGATTTCAGAAACCAAAAGAAACAGTAATCATCATTCCATTTGTTTTTCTAAAAACAGCTTTAGAGGTCAGTGACAGAATTCAGAAGAAATGCAAGACTTAAAATCTTCTCGCCACTCCTTCCACTTGCTGCACTTTGCTGCTTTGTTTCAATTAAGGTTTGTTGATTGCCCAATACCAATGCAGTTCTTATGCAGCTGAACAATAACACAACCAATATTATGAGACCAAATGCTGTCTAAAACAAGCACACCCCAGCATTCTCCTCCCCATAGGCATGGCTGCACTTAAGTCTATCAAAACACTTAAAAATGACAATCGCAATAGGTATTCTACTTGGAATCGTCTTAGGGACAATTAATACTTAAGTTGCATCCAGAACTCCTAATTTGCTTCTTATACATAAAAGCAAACATTACAGCCTGGAACACCTAGTGCTGAACACCCTGCTGCCCTATTTGCAGGCCTCGCTGAGCGAGTTGGCCCAAGGAATGTCTGTGGGGGAGCCGACGCTTTAGTTTGGGTTCTGCCCCCTCTCCTGCTCAACTTGTCAGCTTTGTGCTGCCACGGGGGCATTGCCACCTCTCCAATGCCACTGCCCGGTGTTGTGTCCCCCCTGTGCGCCACTCGGTGGGAAGACAGAGGGGTACATATGCTCAGTATGCCCGGTGCGTAGGGTGTGTACACAGCGATGTCCGCACAGTGTACAGCGTGCACGGTACAGGCTACACACGCACCGCGGGCCCCGCGCTCACGGGGCAGGGACGCCCGGGAAGCCGTGGCCCTTCTGCACGGGCCTCATCTGTGCCGCCATCCCCGGACCATGAGCCAGCCAACGGGAGCCTTGCTCCAGCCATGCCGCTGGCTGGGGAGCGCCCAGGACCCGCTCCCGTCGGTGGGGCACCCATGTGCCCAGTGCCCGCCCGCCGCCCACTCACACCCCGGGGTCCGCCCGCGGCGCTCCGGCACTGCCGGGCCGCGCACGGCGGCGCTCGGGGCTGTGGGTGGCCCTGCGGGGATGACGCAGGCGGCGGGCGGGCAGGAGGGAGGGAGTAAGAGAGGGAGGAGCCCGTGATGGCCGGTGCCGCCGCCGTCGCGCTGTCCCTCGCTGCGCTGCCGGCCACCGCCACCGCCGCCCCACCGCCGCTGTCAGCTGCCGACCACCCCGCCGCCGCCATGGCCGAGGAGGAGGCTCCTAGCGAAGGGTGAGTGGAGCGGCTGCGGGCCGACCCCTGTCCTCTCCGCGGGTGTCCCGGACGGCGGTAGGAAGCCTTTCGGGGCGTCCGGGCCGTGCCGTGCCGTGCCGCCGCGGGTGCCGCTCGCCCGCCTCCTCCCTGAGGGTGCCTGAGGGCTGCGGGCGGCCGCTGTGCCGGGGTTGCGGGCGCTCCCGCCTCCCCGAGCGCCCGCCGGGCTCCGCGCTCCGCCCCGGCCCTGCCGCGCTCCGGCATCGCCGCTCGGGCGCTCCCCGGAGTGTGGGCACATCGTCTGCCATGTTTTGCTGCCGCACAGCCCGCCTTCCTGCCATGGCTTCCCGCCTTCTGGCACGGGCAGGCTCCCGGCAGGGTTTGCCGCTGGCTCCCTGCGAGCCCCGTGTCCCCGCCGCTTCCCCTTCTGCACCGGAGCTCCGCCGTGGCTGGCCAGCTGTTGTCATTGCACACCTGCCCGCAGGCGTGTCCCTGCGCCTTTGCCTTGGCAAAGTGTATGTACGTGCTCCGGCTGTCATCCACCCTTCCTTCCCTTTGCGCCCCAGAGGTCACACGGCTGCATACAGTGCTGGCCCATGCTCCTGGTGTGCCTCGGCGGCTCTATCTGGGCGCACAGATAGCCCATCTTCTCGTTCTCTACGTTCACTTTGCTATAGAGCAGACAGTGCATTTGTCAGCCTCTCTGTGTCATCGTTCTGTACTTTATATAAGTAGGAGATGAGAGCACATCTATAAATTACAAGCATACGCTGTTGCTCTAACTTTTCCAGTACTGTATGCCATCTCTGCTAACTTTTTCTTTCCTTTCACTGTCCCAGGGCATTCACATCTACTGAAATAATTCCTATGACATAAGTTACCCTGACCCTGTTCTTAACATGTGTCTCTAATACCTGTTTGTAACCACTTACACCCTTGTTATATGACTTTATTATAGCTAATAAAAGTTACTAATCAATGGTCTGTTCTTCAGTTCTCATGCCTTCTTAGTGTATGCTTTATTTCTAGTTACACTTAAGCTTCTACTGCAGACCCATTTTTATACTCTTCCATTGCCCCCAAATATGTTGTCTGCCCCTGTAGAATAATATAGTCATCCCAGCTCTGAGTTTGTTTGCCAAACATACTTAAGATATCTGCTGGTCGCTTATCTCACAGTTTGTTCCATCATATTTTATGGTTCTAATCCAAACAGTGCTCTATCAGAATATATCTAACTCTTCTTTAGTCATACATGTGCTTTATTCCTTCTGTCAGACATGTAAATATGCTTTATATGTATTATTTACATTAATTTTTCCTCTTTCTCATATGCTTTATATGCATTGTTTACATTAATTTTTCCTCTTTCTCTATGCGTTACATATTAGGTAGTATATCCCATTACTGATTGACTAGTCCTCAAAAACTAATTTCTTGCCTTTTCTTCTACATCTCCCTTCTTGCATAACTAAGTATTGTGTTATTTTGAGAAATCAGACTTAAAATTCTTCAGCTGATTGCATGAAAATCATGCCAGGCATTCATGACTTCTTAATTAAGTATATTGCCATTTGCATGTTGTCATGTTATATGTCTGTTTTGTAATCTTCCAAAACTACCTGCATCCTCAATCTTGTGCTTTTTTTAGTCATTTTTCCAGCTTGGGATTTTGGTATTTCATCTTACATATTTTCCTGCTCTGCCAGCTCAATCTGACCAGATCTGGACTATCCATCTTTTCCAAATTCCCTGTTATGCCATCATCACCATATGTACGCAGCATCCTCATTTCAAATGCAAACTCCAAAAGCTTCCCCTTCAAAGCACTATGCAGTTTTGTCTACTCTGTAACTCTGCACGCTCCTCCTTTCCTCAAACTTAAAATAGTTTTTTCCAAAATCTTCACCTCCACGCAACCTCTACAACATTACCCACTTGAAAACTACAAGTGAAACGCTTCTTGGTTCCATGTTCTTTCTGACCCCTTCACAGTCTTAACAAGTAGTTTGTAAAGCTTCTTGTTGCTGGTTTACAGGTTTCCTAAGTACAAGTCTTAAAATAGCTGTGCCTCAGCCTGTTTTGTTTGTGTGTTCATTCAGCGCATTAGGCTGAACTGCATTAGCTGTCTGGTTTGATCACACAGAGTGCTGAGTGCTGCTGAGACGCTGCCAAGCGCCCTCAACTCCAGTTGCCTCTCAGGATTGCAGGATCGTAACACTCGTTGATCTGGACATAGAGTTAGGCTGAATTTTCAAGAGGATTACTGCAAGTTTCTCGTGTGGTTTACACAGCTGGGTGGCTTTTAAGAGGTGTTGGTTTTCAGAACTTCTGAACAATTAGGCATTGATGTGGTATTTTTCAGAGTAAACCTCCTGATTCACTAAAAACTTCCAAGAACAAAATATCATCATCCTTTTCCATGAATTCAAAAAGTGCATTTGTGTTGAAATGTTAGTGCTTTTATTGGTCAGTTTCTAGCAGTAATTAAACTTAGCATTTGTTCATGCTAAGGAACAAATTAGCATGAAATTTTGAACTCGAGCAATGCTCAGTACCTAGGGGAAGTTTATAAACAAGAGAAATATGTTAAATGATTTTTCATTTAGAATGCCGTGGCAGTGATAGGAAGTTACAATATACCATCAAAGTCCTAGAATAAATTACTAGTGACAGGTGTACACAAAGAATAAATGCAAAGTTTATCTGCTTTGAAAACAATAGTGTGACTCAACTTGTTAGGCAACACACTTGCTTTGTTGCAATTTGGTAACTGTGCAAAGCATGGTGAAAACTTTCTTTCTGGAAGATCTCAGCTGAAAAATATTCATGAAAACTATTCATGACCCTGTCCTAACTTTGAATTAGAAGATTAACTAAACAAATGTTTTTGTAGTCACAGTGATTGCTTGGTTAACATGTCACCTGCTAGTGATTTCCAAACCTCTTTACAGCCTTGGACCTCCTCTGTGTAGGTTTTAGATGGAGACTTCTGCCTGTGAGGCAGACAGCCCTAAACTGAGCCTTTTGCCAGTATTGAATTAACTTACTCACTCTGGATGCACCAGGACTGCTTATGGCTTATAATATAACTAGGAAGAACAGCTACTAAATGTGTGTACACATACAGAAAAAGATCCCCAAACTGCAATACTGGGGGATTTTTCCCCCTATAAGTGGAATAGTTTTCTTTAAGTTTTCTTAGAACTTAGTTTTCTTAGTTTTCTTAAAGTTTTCTTAAAACTTTAAGACATCTGCAGTTACAAGCCCACATCAAATTGCTCGTAATTGGCCTTTAGTCTCACAAAATAGTGGCTTGGAGTAAAGGAGAAGACATACACTCTAACACCAGTGTTCACAATTATTTTTGTGTTATCCTTCAAGTTTGTTTGTATTACAGAACTCAGTTTTGAAGTGAGCTGTTTGATTAATAAAAGAGGAATCGTTTATTAGGCTTGATAGAGCCTGTGTCTTCTCATTGGTAGGATGGTTCAGTGTTACAGCATGAATGGACACTCTCAACTCAGAATTTTTGCCTGAATTTTTTGCTAGTTACATGATCTAGGTTTTACAGCAAACTGAGTGGGTAGGCTGCTGAAAGCAGGGTCCTGCTTACTTTTCTTCTTTCCTGTAGTGCTGGTGACCAAACACAGGCTTGGTAGCTACAACTTGCATTTTTAAAAACTGAGTGAGACGTCAGTGCAGTGTAGAAAGCAGATGTGGAAAAAGGTTAAAGGTAATTTCCTTCCTCTTTTCCGATTTTGTCTTTTTGGCTGGCAGGGTTGTGTCAGTCACAGCTTCAGTACTTAAAGCCTTTTGTGTTACATGCATGAGCTCATCAGAAGGTGTTTGTATGAGCAGGTTTTCAGGCATTTATGGGATTATTTCTAATAGTTTCTTGTGCTTGTATGAATTTGGGGAGGGAAGGTCTGTGTTTATCAAGATCTCTCATTTCTCCTAATGCAGATGAAAGGGAGAGAGGGAAAGATGGGAAAGTGTAACAGGGGCTATCTTCTCATTCTGGTAGCAAAAGAAAGATGCTGATAACCCCGCTTTCCAAGTATCAAACAAAGACACATCTTCAGAAGTTGCCAAAGTAGAATTAGGGGGAGTCTTAGCCCCAGTGGAAATGACAGTGAAGCTATAAATCCATAGGGGCAACTAGCTGTGGTTAGTGTGCTGGTGACTATGTGTCATTGGAGAACACAATTTTTAGCTAGTATTGCATGTATTTGGGTATGTGAAAAGTTGTTTTAGAGCCTGCTGGGGGCTGATAGGCCCAGTCTGTGACCTACCTTTTTGAAAGGGACAGTGTTTGTGTGCTGGAGGTTCTCTGACTGTTCTGAACTTCTGTGGAAGGCTCTGAACGATTCTCCCAGCTGACAAACTATGAAAATGTTTCTTCTTTTATATAGTGGTGTATTAAGATTTCTTGCTGAGGAAATTTTGATGCTTGTGTTTCATAACTTCTGAGTATTTACTTGCAATTCTGATATTCTTTTGGGATAGTTTTTTGCACATGGGTTGCATTGACAGCCAGGGAGAAGAGGGCACGAGAGGAAAGGTGAGTGTCTGCATTTATATTGGCTCAGAAAGATCCAGATGAGAAGCTGAGCAGCCAGAGAGAGGTCAGTGGAGAAGAGAGATTTGTGAGTCAGTAAAGCTGTGTAAGGGAATGAGGTCGATCTGGAATAAGGTTAAGAGGGTAGCAGGAGGTTTTTAAGTGGCAGCAAGAACACATGGTGCCATGGTGAGAAATGGCAGAGAAGGAAGGTGCTCTGAGTGTGTTGTAGTAGAAAACTCAAGATGATAGGAGACTACGGAAAGGCGGGGAAGACACGAGCATAACAAAAATGCATTCTCCAAAAGAAGAGTGCCTGTTGCCATTGAGAAAGTCTGCTCATCTATTGAAGTGAGAGAGAAGGGTGTGGCAAAGGGCAAAATACAGAAATAGGGTGGGTTAAAGCTCTAACAGACTGTTGTAGAATTTTTTTCTTGGTTGTATTTAGTAATTTGGGGTC